TATATATACACACACACACACACACACACCCGTTCAAAGGTTTGGGGTCAATATGATTTTTAATGTTTTTGAAAGAAATGTCTTCTGCTTATCAAGGCTGCTGTAACGCCACACCAGCAGAGGGAGCCCTCGCCTGAGTACTGACTGTGTACCGCTCCCTCTGCTTCTGCATTCATTTCCTGTTTGATCAGTATTTAGCAAGGAACTGTGTGTTTGCTCATTGCGAAGTATTGCCAGTTTACCTGCCTTACCAAGCGTTTCCATTGTTTTCTGCCTGCCTATTCTGTGTATGATTCTGCCTGATTATCTGCTCTACGGTTACTGTTTTACCCCTTTGGATTGATAGCCTGATTTGGACTGATGATTGTGTTTGGACCTTTTGCCTGCTTACTCGTCTCTGCCTTTTGGATCTCCCTTGTGTATGTTGAAAGATTGGACTGCTGTTACGGTACTGACTCTCTGCCTATTAATAAACTTAATAAACTTCTGCAAATGGATTCTAACGCCGCCTCAGCCTCACTGTTACAGAATACTTCGAATCCAGCGGAACTTGCAAGCAGCCTTCGCCTATCAAAGTGAGGTATTAAAGGGATACCAGGATCAACTGGCTAAACTCCAGTCTGTCAATGAGCACCTGACTCACTACATCCAGTCTCTTCCATCGACCACGCCGAAGACGGTAAGCTTTGCATTACCTGATAAATTTGATGGATCTGCGGAGCAATGTAGAGGCTTTGTTCGTCAAGTCAAGATTTACTTTGATAACCAGGAAGACAAGTTTCAGTCAGATGAAAAGAAATGCGCTTTCATGATGACGTTATTATCTGGCAAGGCGATCGACTGGGCTGCGGCAGTTTGGGAAACGGATGTGCGTTTTAGAAGATCTTTTGATTATTTCATCCAACAACTGCGAGAAGTGTTTGAATATCCTGCTGGGGGCAAGGATATATCAACGCAGATTTTACATATGTCACAAGGTAACCGTACAGCTGCTGAATATGCCATCTTATTTAGAACGCTCGCTGCTCAGAGCGGATGGAATGATGTTTCACTGAAAGCCGTGTTCCAACAGAGCCTCAACACTGATCTGCAGGCAGAGCTGGCTTGTAAAGGGGAGAATGTATCGTTTTCTGACTTTGTTACTCTCACCATAAAAATTGACAATCTGATGAGACAAGCCCTGAGACGAAGAAATACAAGAGGATTTCAACAAGTTCCGCCAACCATCAATCAACCTATGACAACATCAACCACCAAACCAAATGATGAACCGATGCAACTAGGTCTCTCCAGATTATCTGAGGAGGAAAGAATGAGACGACGTCAACTCTGACTATGTTTTTACTGCGGTGAAGCAGGCCATCGCAGTCAAGGGTACCCACACAAGGCCCAAACAACCTCTCGGGTAAATATTGAACACTTTTTACTTCCAACTAACAAGTCCTTCAAGATCCCTATTAAGCTAAAGACTGAAGATATTTCTATTTCATTAACAGTGATGATCGATTCTGAAGCAGCTTTGAACCTCATTAACAAAGATCTCATCAAAAAATATAACATTCCTACCCAACCATGCAATCCCCCCATCAAGATCAAAGCTGTCAACGATACCTCAATTGGAGAGGGCATATTTCATCAGACCAAGCCATTAACACTCCAAGTTGGTTTATTTAATCAATAATTAATCTCACTGTATGTCATTGACTCCCCTAAACATGAAGTGATCCTCGGATTTCCATGACCCCTTCATTTCCTGGCATCAGGGTGAGTTGACCAAGTGGTCCACTTTCTGTGAGAATCATTGTTTTTCCCAAGTTCCCCAACCGTGGATAGAAACTAGCATAGAAAGCCCAGAAGTTAGCAAGACAGTCAACATTCCCAATTGTTATGACGATCTGGCAGAAGTCTTTAGTAAAACCAAGGCCACACAATTACCCCTCCATCGTCCTTGGGACTGTGCCATCGATCTACTTCCCAATGCAATGCCCCCAAAAGGTAAGATCTACCATCTGTCCAGAAAAGAAACCCAAGTCATGGAAGAATATATTGAAGAGGCCCTTAGCTCAGGATTCATCCAACCCTCCACGTCTCCAGCTGCAGCAGGTTTTTTCTTTGTTGAAAAGAAAGATGGAGAATTAAGGCCTTGTATTGATTATAGAGGACTTAACAATGTTACCGGGAAATTCTGCTACCCCCTTCCACTGGTTCCTTCAGCACTAGAACAGCTCCGTGAGGCTACCATTTACACCAAATTTGACCTACGGAGTGTATATAACCTGATCAGAATTAAAGAGGGCGATGAATGGAAAACTGCCTTCCTCACCACTAGGGGGCACTATGAATATCAGGTTATGCCGTATGGGCTTGCCAATGCTCCAGCCATTTTCCAGTCGTTCATTAACAAGATTTTCCGGGACCTTCTGAACCAGTACGTAATAGCCTACATTGATCACATCTTGATTTACTCAAAGTCTGAAGATGAACATATCAACCATGTCAAGACCGTCCTCTTTCGTCTACTAGCAAACCAATTGTATATCAAGGCAGAAAAATGTGAGTTCCATGTCAGACAAACGTCATTCCTGGGTTACCATATCAGTCACCAAGGAGTAAGAATGGATGAATCTAAGGTCAAAGCAGTCACAGAATGGCCACAACCATCCACCATAAAAGAGCTTCAAAGGTTCCTGGGGTTTGCCAACTTCTATAGACGCTTCATCAGAAATTACAGTATGATTGCTTCCCCTCTGACTTCCCTCCTGAACGGAAAGCCTTCAAAGTTGAAGTGGGCTGAGGAAGCCAGCCAGGCATTCGGTACATTGAAGGAAAGGTTTACAACAGCCCCCATCCTGAAACATCCTTACCCCAATCTTCCATTTGTGGTGGAGGTAGACGCTTCGAACTGCAGAATCGGAGCTGTGCTCTCCCAACGTCATGGCCAACCTGGTAAACTGTATCCATGCGCATTCTTCTCAAGAAAGTTAAATGCAACTGAAAGAAACCATGATGTTGGGAGAGCCATCGAGCAATGGAGACACTGGTTAGAAGGGGCAATCCATCCATTTCAAGTAATAACTGATCACAAAAATCTTGAATACATCAAGAGTGCCAAACGACTAAATCCACGGCAGGCTCGTTGGTCGCTTTTTTTCACCCGATTCCAGTTTACAGTGACATATCGCCCAGGCAGTAAGAATAGTAAGGCAGATGCTCTATCCAGGCAGTATGATCTCCCCATTGAAAGCCTCACACCAGAATGCATACTCCCACCTTCTATTGTCATCGCTCCTATCACCTGGGACATAATGGAGGAAATACAAAGGGAACAACTACAAGAGCCAGCACCTGTCAACTGCCCACCAGACAAACAGTATGTTCCACAAAATCTACGTCACAGAGTGATGCAATGGGTCCACACTTCTGTCAGTTCAGGCCATCCAGGAATATCCCGCACTCTTCACTTACTGCAAAATTCATTCTGGTGGCCCTCGATGACCAAGGACGTCACTACTTATGTCAAAACCTGTCAAGTCTGTGCCCAATCAAAGACCCCCAAGGAGTTACCTTCAGGTCTCCTCCAACCACTGCCTATCCCACAACGTCCCTGGTCCCATCTATCTATTGACTTTGTCACAGACCTGCCTCTGTCCAACAGCTTCACTGCTGTCCTAGTTATTATTGACCGTTTCTCCAAATCTTGTCGTTTGGTTCCTCTAAAAGGACTTCCCACAGCCATGGAGACTGCACACGCACTGTTTCATCAAGTCTTTCGAATTTATGGTATACCAGATGATATCGTCAGTGATAGAGGAACCCAGTTTACGTCCCAAGTTTGGAAAGCATTCTGCAAACATCTTGACATCAACATAAGCCTCACGTCAGGATACCACCCTCAGGCAAATGGACAAGTCGAACGGTTAAATCAAGAGATAGGCAGATATCTACGATCATATTGTAGCCGAGAACAACACCGCTGGTCTGAGTTCCTTCCATGGGCTGAGTACACACAAAATTCATTGACTCACTCATCCACTGGTTTGATTCCCTTCCAGTGTGTCCAGTGTATCAACCCCCTTTGTTCCCGTGGTCTGGCGAACCCTCATCGGTCCCTGCGGTGGACGATTGGTTCCGGCGTAGTGAGAGGGTGTGGAACAGCGCATATGTACGTCTTCAGAGAGCCGTAAGAGTACAGGAACTCCAGGCCAACAGACGACGTCGCCCACATCCTCCCTACCAACCTGGCCAACGGGTCTGGCTTTCTACGAGGAACCTCAAATTGCGGCTACCAAGCAGGAAGCTCAGCCCCAGGTATGTTGGTCCTTTCAAAATTCTAAGAAGAATAAATGAGGTCACATATCAGTTAGAGCTTCCTGCTAACTATCGTATCTCTCCATCCTTTCATGTTTCACTCCTCAAACCGGTCCACCCGGAGGCTGACCCCGACAATGAGGCTCGAGAGCCGCCACCGCCGCTGGATGTTGATGGAACCCCAGCTTACAAGGTGAATGAGTTACTGGACTCAAGACGGAGAGGGGGTCAGCTTCAATATTGATATCGATATCGACGATACTGGGCTTGAAAATATCGGTATCGGATCGAAAATAAAATAAGAGGTATCGCCCATCCCTAGTCGTCTGATGAAATCAAATACAAGATAAATACAATAGCTGTGCTGAAATTTCGGGTATACTTGCATGTAAAATTAGAGAAGCAACATAATATCTGGTTTAAAGTGCTGCTCCTCTCAGCCGCTCGCTGAACAGAGCAGATGCAAAGCCTACCACATACCACAAACCATATATTTTCGCAATCGCGTGTTTTTGTCCATATTGTCTATGAGTCCGTCTTGGACTTTCTGCACAACAGCACCCTCCGGCTACGAGTATGAATGAAACATAAACTGCATGAGGGTGATGTGAAGCTGTTCACATCACCTGGATACGCATAAAACAGGTCATGCACAGACTACCCCTGTCTCTTTGAATTTAAATCGATATTTATTCAAACGGCCCTTGAATACCTCTATATGAACATGCTTGCCCAAAAAAGTGCGGGGGATGAATTTACGTGTTATTAAAAGTGGGGGGACACATCCCCCGCGCATTCTACACCCATGGGTTTAGGTGTAGGGTTAGAGTAAGGGCATAGTAATGTTATATAAAAAATATTACATCTATGGAATGTCCCCACCAAAAATGGAAATGACTGTGTGTGTGTGTGATTTAATGACCATGAATTAATAAGTAATTTGTTAATATGAATAATATGAAAAGTGGGCACTATAAAGTTACATTAAAATTAAGGTAAAAAAAAAAAACTATTCAGAAAAAGTGACTGAAAATTGCAGGGATACAGGAACACAACTGAGCAATGATTCAAATGAACAGTAAATCATTTTGGGAAACAGATGATTAAAAATTGTTCAAATGAAGCAACTTACTAAAATAAACGTCCCAGTGCTGTTTTAAAGAGATACTAGTATTGTGTATTTGATTATTGCTTCAGCTTGCTCTGAAGGCTGTAATTTGGTTGTAAGTTCAAACTTGTATTTTCTTTCTGTGTAGCACATCACTTTAAGAAAGATAGGAGATGCTATCGACTGGGTGCACCTGAGAGAAGTTGGCAGTAAAAAAGAAAGCAGCCATAGTTGCTGTGCAGTCTCGGTTGAATGACCATGATTTGTTTGGACAGTGGTGGGGGCCCCATTTAGGCCAACAGCTTCTATTGTCTTTTGTTTAGCTGTAGGGGGAGGAGACCAACCAATATCCCTTGGTGAGATCGACTGCAGAAATAAACTGGCTTCCCTGAGTTAGTTCACTCCAGTCAGGATGGACTCCTGAAGCCATTACAAAAGGTTTCTGTCTTGTAACTACTACTTGTGAGATAACACTGTAATAATAAAAAAAAAAATGTGTTGGCTTTTTTACCCTTGTGAAAAAAGTGCACTTAATTGTACTTAATGTGCATTTGAAGTGTATTTCAAATTATGAAAGTGTGAATGTGTGTGTGATATATATATACTTAGGTATACCAATTAGGTATACTTAAAGTAAGTACACTTTTTTTAACACACCTACACTTTCGAAAATATTTTCTTTAAAGTACTTTTTTTAATCATTAAAGGAAATTGAAAGTGTAAAAAGCATAATCAGAACCCTTTAAAAATATAGTGTGTAATGTTGCTGTTTGAGCATGAAAAAGATCTGAAGTCCACTCCGAAGGGAGTTATTCACTATATCAGTAAGTTCTGTAAGTAACTCCCTCACATGCCTCAATTGCAGTCCTAAGTTTTCTTCCGGGAATGTACAAGCCACAATATCACCAGTTTAAATAATTCCTGCCCAAGGCATGCCCAAGTGGCCGAGGCGCGTTAGAAGTGTGTTAGTAGTGTTGTCTCCACGTCCAAAAGACCATGTTTCACAGATCTAATATACAGATGCGATTTCTTTCCCAACTGTTTACATTTTTTTGGACTTGTGTGTTTTTTGTGTGCTTTTGACATAACCTTGCTTGTATTTGACAGGTGACGCAAAAGAGAACTCCAGCATAGCTGGAGTTTAAAATGACAAGGCTTTAAAAGGCATGCAGATGTTTTGTTTGTTGTGGGTGGAGCAGTGTTTCTAACTATTTTCAATGCAAAAGTCGCAAAATGTCACCAGACAACATAATACGCTAATTTGAATATTTATGGAGTCATTGTTGTATTTGCATTCTGCCTCCTGTCAGCTCTTTTCATCTGTTTGCTTGTCTTCTACTCTCTGTGTTCACATACTGTATTTAACGCAGTTCATAAATTGGGGAAGAAGGAGGCGGGAACTAGCAGACTTTTAACAAAACCTTTATTACTCGTCCTTCACTGTCATCACTACTTCTTTTATCCTTCTAGAGCTTTTGTGTGTTGCAGGTGTCGCTCATTATCATTTACTCCACCGGCCTCGCTCTGCTCCCATGGCTCTCGGCCCCACCCCACCCCACCCACCTCATCACACTGTATTTAATACTACCATATTCCCAATAAAGCTGTTCTCATTTACCTATTTTTCTGTTTTTGTTGTCAGACAATGGAACACATATGAAATGTACTATACATGTTCACAAGCAGTCACTTCTGAGCCATTTCAAGCTGCTGCTCTGCTAAAATATCCTGGTTTACAAATACAAAGTTCTGGCATGAAACTCTAGATGGCGCAGTCCGATAGGTCTAACTCAATCTGATATAATTATATCATTAGGGCCTTTCGCACCGCGGATTCTTAGTCCTCCTTTCCGTTCTTTCAATCGCTTTACGTATACGTCGACTTTCCATGTCCATTATTGTGAAACCCGCGAGACACAACAAAAACACAGCTCCGATCACAGCGTCCTCCATCCTACTGTTGTTAATGTGGTTGAACGCCACGCACAAATGACGACGCTGTTGACCGGCTTACGTCACTTCTTAGTACACACTGTCGGTGCGAATGCAACCCTTTAAATAGTACTGGGAAATAGTTCGCGCAAAATCGTCCCAGTACTTTAGTACTGTACATTTAGTTCTGGAACTAAAGCGGTGCGAAAGGCCCTATTATCACATGGCATAGTTGATTAGTTCTCTCCTGTATTGTCAGCCAATGAGCTTGCTGCTCAACATTCAAATATATTTGACTAGTGATTGCTGTAGCAGTAAAAAGAAGGCCCAATGTCAGCCATGAATAAACTAAATAAAGCAGAACTGGCCCAAATCTGGGCAACATTGATTTTAATTCTGGCCCAGATCCGGCCCAAATTCAACACCTTGCTTTGGCCCACATACTGTGAAGAATGATGGCACTTGGGCGGTCCACTCCTGTTTGCAAATTTGGGCCACAAGCAAGCCAAATGAAGGCCCAATATCAGCCATGAATAAACCAAATAAAACAGAACAGGCCCAAATCTGGGCCACATTGATTTTAATTTTGGCCTTGCCCCGACCCACATACCGTGAAGAATGATGGCATTTGGGTGGACCACTCCTGTTTGCCAGATTTGGGCCACAAGCAAGTCAAAGGAAGGCCCAGTGTCAGCCATGAATAAACCAAATAAAGCAGAACTGGCCCAAATCTGGGCCACATCGATTTTAATTCTGGCCCAGATCCAACACCTTACTCCGGCCCACATATTGTGAAGAATGATGGCACTTGGGCGGTCCTCTCCTGTTTGTCAAATTTGGGCCACAAGCAAGCCATAGGAAGGCCGCATGTCATCCATAACAATAAATACATAAAATAAAGTAGAATTGGCCCAAATCTGGGCCACATTTATTTTTATGCTGGCCCAGATCCGGCCCAGATCCAACACCTTGCTCCAGCCCACATACTGTGTGGAATAATGGCATTTAGGCAATCCAGTTCTGTTTGTCAGATTTGGGCCTCAAGTAAGCCTTAGCATTGCTGCATGTAAGCCAACCAAATAAACCAAAACTGGCCCTAATGTGGGCCACAGTTTATTTTTATTCTAACCCTGGGGCCTGATGTATAAACGTTGAGTACGCACAAAATGGGCATGGAAATGTGCGTACACAATTTTCCACACACATATCGGGATTTATAAAAAAATAAACTAGGCGTAAATATGTGCGCACCGTACGGACACTCTAGACCATGAGTTTGAAGATAATGAAGCACTCTTTTACTGGAGTGAGCGAAATAATGAAGCAAACAGAATGATTTTAAAGTCTGTTTTACATTTGACATACACATTTAGATTAAATATGACACTCTCAATAATGCAGTTACAGTGGTCCACAAGCAGGCCACTACACAGCCACATTTTAGCTAATAATGAACTAAATAAACCATAAATATACATTATCTCGGCCACACTAAGCCTTAAGGGAGTTATGCATCAACAATACTCAACATTAAACATTTATGGAGGACTTTTTTAAATTTATCTTTACAAATAAGTTCCAGAAACGTGTCCTACTTGATAAAATCATCCCGACCCAAGTTTCACACAAGCAGCAATTAAAATGTCACAGATAAATATTCAAAGACACATTCCAATACTTTAAAAATTGTTCTTCACAAGTTTGAACTTAAATGCTTCTCACTCAGTCTCTACCTACACAGTAAGTCTGTGAGTGTCATAGCTACACTGTGTTAAAGAGCGCACAACAAAGATGAAAGGTCATATATCATAAGTCTTTAATCCAACAAGGGTAAATCCAAACACAATGTAGCACAGCAACATTTAAGACATGTAGACGTAAGACCAGATAAACTCAAACTGAACATACAGGAACTTAAGTACTCAGACCAAACAAGTGTGACATCCAAGAAGTGGCCTCACTTGTCAAGTGTTACAACCATAAGTGGTCCTCATCTTTTTTATAATATATGGGGCATATTTGCCATGTCAAATGTGGGACAAGTTGGCTTACACACTGATTAGCCAATGCTGACTGTGCCGCATATTTGCATAAAAGTGGCCCAAATAGTTATTAATTATTTGGGCAATATTTGTCATTTTATACCATTATAGACCACATTTGCTGCATCATATAAGGGCCACTTTAGGCTCACAGCCACATTA